CTTTGCTTGTGAAAAGTCAGTGTTCCTGCCATGGGATCCTGAAAACACTGATTTATATTTGCTTCTAGAAGAGAGATGGATAAAAGAGGTGAGTCTGGAATCTAACTGCAAGAGTATCTACATTGTCCCATTAGTGTTCTTTTTCCAGAAGACAGGTCAGTCTAGAGGCTAAAATGGAACTTCGTGTCCTCTCATGCCATCTACTGGTACTTCTCTAGCAGTGTGAGCTCTGGCTATAGTTCATGTTATTGACATTCAATTTTCAGTGTAAATTCAACAGGCCAAATTGAACAATTTTACTCCTTGTTACTCAGGTCCTTAAAGACGTATCCCCTCCTACATCTTTGAAACTGGGTTAAAAAGAATGTTAATAATGTAGTGATTTTAGAGACAGTCAGAATACTTTCGATTCCTTTGTATATAATGCAGCTTTCAGAAATGCTTCTGAGCGTCTCTGAAAATGCTGGTTTGCAATTAGGGGAAGGATGATGGCTTAGCTGAAGACAAAACTCACTGAATTTTTACAAGTTCACTATAATGATGATACAATGAGTTGTCCAAGATGGAGCAGACAGGGCTAGATGCTGACGGTGGCAGGAGTAAAATTTGGGCAACAATTGGAGCCAACCTCCTGACTTAGAAGTATGAGGGAACACCAGTTCCAGAAAACCTCTGGTCCATCTACAGGGATACAGTAAGATTCCCAAACAAAACTACGTCTTCAAATTTGCTCTGGATACAGGCTTGTTGTTACTACAAGATGGAGTTTGCCTATATTTCATTTTAAATCCAAGGACAAGAGAGGACTTGTCCATTTTTAGGAAAAATCAGAAGAGAATTAAAATAAGAAACTTTGGTATAGAAGCCACTTCTCTCCCTGGGAGTCTTTAAATACTAGACTATCTTTACAACAGTGGCGTGAAGCACTGAGATAAAGAAAACTGGGTTTTATTTATTTATTTATTTATTTTTGGGTCCGGTCGTGGGCATGAACTCTGGGCCTGGGCGCTGTCCCTCAGCTCTTCAGCTCAAGGCTAGAGCTCTACCACTTGAGCCACAGCGCCACTTCCGGCTTTTTTCTTTTTGCGTATGTGGTGCTGAGGAATCGAACCCAGGGCCTCAGGCATGCAAGGCAAGCGCTCTACCACTGAGCCACCTTCCCAGCAGAAAACTGGGTTTTAAAAGTAACTCTAGTCAGTAGCTATTAGTGAGAATTCTTGCAAGATTCTTCTCAATTACCTTGTCTGGAAAAAATGGTGGCTTTATTTCACAGTGAGGTTGTTGGTATTCGATGACCGTTTCTGTGGGCCTTTTCTTTTTTTTCCTCTATGACAGGAGAAATATAGGAGCTCTGAAGATTTTGAAAGCAACATAAAACATCGGTTGCAGTAGATTATGAAAGAGTTCTCATAGCCCAAAGTCAAGATGACATGATAAAGTACACATTTCATGCCCAGTAATATGTGTCAAGTCCAGGAAGAATCCAAAGAACTTTCAAAACATTCTGGTTACTTTCTAACTTAAATCATATTAAACTCTCAAGTTCAGGGTTTTAAGATTAGTTATTCCATAAATTTGCATAATACTTAACAGGGGAGTATGACCTATATTTCAAGATATTCTAATAAGAATCACTTAAGACAAGGCTTGTTTTCACATTCACCCTTGAGAGAACTAAGTTTCAGAAGTGACTTCCCAAAGTTACAAAGCCAGTTCAATTAGTCACCATTGAGGACAGGTCTTTAGATTTTTATATCTTCTAATCTTTCCAGAAACTAGATTCCTCTTTCTCAGAGCCTTTTTTACTCTTTAAAGACAGTTTGTAATTCTTGTATTTAGTTGACTTATGAGTCACTTTAAGCAAGTAGAAAACATAGTAATCTGTTTTTTCTTATCCACACCTGAGCTTCTGGGCCTAATTACATGTTTTACCACAGAATAACATATCACATATCACAAGAATAGATTATTTTGATTTTGAACAACTTTTAAAATGTAACTCCTGTATTAGATGTTATTTTTGGATCTGGCTAAAAAAAATCCTTTGGATTTTTAAAATCTATTTCAGAGACCCATTCATGCCTTGGGGGGTGGGGTGAACTGGTAGGAACATCGTTCATATATTAAACATGCCTTGTAGGTGGTCCTGTTGTAGAAAAATCTAAATGTCCAGAATCACCCAATGCTTTGAAATGTGTTTTATGCCCTACTATACAATTTTGGAAGCCTGTATTTTTTTAAAAAGCAATACAATCAACATCTAATTTAAGGATGAGTGCCCATCAAATATCTACTTACCTCTGCTTTATTCCTATAGTAAATACCTTATCATTGCAAAGTGTTATCCTAACAGGGAGGTTTTGTTCAGCTTAATCCTACTGTTTAGTCCCAATTCACAATTCCTCAAGATCAGAAGTTTTATATGGTTCCTGGTGGGAAGGAGGTGTTAAACACACAAGTAATTAGTATGTATCTGATAAAACTGTGAGCTTTGGAAATGTTTGGAACTGAATATGCATCTCTGAATGTTTTACAACTGGAAATGTTCAATTCTGCTACATCAAATGCTGAGATCTATACTCAGCAATTTATACAGCCCATGTGATATTTATGAATAGGTAAATTTAGGAAACAAACTGTACTGACAGGGCTGGGAAGGTGGCTCAGTGGTAGAGCGCTTGCCTTGCATGCTTGAGGCCCTGGGTTTGCTTCCTCAGCACCACATATGAAGAAAAAAAAAAAAAAAGCCAGAAGTGGCGCTGTGGCTCAAGTGGTAGAGTGCAAACCTTGAGCTGAAGAGCTGAGGGACAGCGGCCAGGCCCAGAGTTCAGGCCCCACAACTGGGCCTAAAAAACAAAAAAACAAACAAACTGTACTGACATTGTTTTTCTTTCCAACCCTAATAAGCTACCATTGTCTCTAAAATCATTACATTATTAACATTATTTTTAACCCAGAATACTCACATCAGGGCCTCTTTAAATAAAACTTATGGTCACTGTCACCTAAAACTAGTAAGAATTCTAAAAGTTTTTTTGGGGGGGGGTCCAGTCGTGGGGCCTGAACTCTGAGACTGGGCGCTGTCCCTCAGCTCTTCAGCTCAAGGCTAGCGCTCTACCACTTGAGCCATAGCGCCACTTCCGGCTTTTTTCTTTTTGCTTATGTGGTGCTGAGGAATCGAACCCAGGGCCTCAGGCATGCAAGGCAAGCACTCTACCACTGAGCCACCTTCCCAGCCCAGAATTCTAAAAGTTTTTAAAAGGAAAAATACTTACTTTGTATTCCCTTCAGTAATTCATACCTGAAGCAATAAGTTCATCTGCATTTGACCAGTTAACTCACCCCAAAGCAGAATCATTCCCATGTATGTTTTTCAGTAATCTGGCTGGAGCCCCCGATATCTAAATTTATTTTGTGACTGTGCTAGAGGATCCACACCAGAGCCTCATGCTTGCTAGGCAAGTGCTCTACCACTGAGCTATACTTCCAAACCGAGCAAATAATGGTATATGGTGTATGTATACATATATGTATTTCATGCCAGTACTGGGACTTAAACTCGACCTTGTACATTTGCTTGGCTTTTTCACTAAGGCTAGTGTTCTCCCACTTGAGTCACACTTCTTCCAACTTCTTGCTGCTTGATAAGAGTCTCAGCAACATTTCTGTCTGGGCTGACTCTGAACTGCTATCCTTAGATTTCAACCTCCTGAGTAGGTAAGATTACAGGTTAGAGCCACCAGTTCCTGGCAAATTCAAGTTTTTAAAAGGAATGTATGGAGGAAAGCTTATAGTTGTACCTAAAATATAACCTAGTATGTGACATTTGTAAGTACTTTTTCATATACCAAACTATAGTTGTCTATCTCCAAGGCAAAATGACCTCAGAGAAGTTAATAAGGGCAAACTCAAATATTTTTGGCATAACTTAGGCAGAGTTAACAAAGAATGGTCATTTTATCACTTCCAAGCACAGAAAGCAATAGCCATTCAAAGGCATGGAGTGTTTGTTCAAAGATTTTTAAAAAATGATCATTAATAAGATCAGTGGGAAATAATTAGCAGTATTGCACCAACGCAAGACAAAATATACTTTATTTTGACAGCAAATGCACACAGTGCTGTAGGTAAGGCATGCTTCTAGGTATAGGTATCTGCATTTCACCAAAGGCCAGTATGGAAATCAATGGAAATGAATGCTGTTTCTCAAGGCTTCAAGATTTCATTCATTATCGCAGAACAGAGACAATCTGTGTCCAACTTACTTCAAATGCAATATTATACTATACCTACTTAATGCCTCTAACCAAGAGCCCAAAGCTTAACTGTACTCAGAAGTCACTAATATCAATGACAGAAAGCTTTCACTAATTCAACGGAAGCAAATTTCCTTTCTAGACATTTTGAAAACTGAACATGCAAACATTCATGCACTCATTTGACAATTAGCCATTTTTGCTGTCAGATGTTCCAAAAGCAAATACTAGAATACCTAGTATATCCTAGCAGTTTGGACAAGGAAATACTTACACATTAATACTTTATAATGTCATAAAATTTGGGGCTAACACCCTGAGTCAAATTGACGACCCCTTCTCACCTGAGAGTACCAAGTACAGTTCAAAGCCAATTAACTGAACTTTTAAGGGAAGATCTGAAGAAAGGTAAGGCTAATATGAGATCTAGACCTTTGGGTGAAAACGCATAGGATCTGTAGACCTCAATGTCAATGAAAAACTGAGGGGTTAAAATGTTTTGCCCCTCCTTTTAAAACAGATGCAGATTAAAGGCTTTCTGCATGGATATAGACCGATGATCTGTCCAACTGTTTTCAAAATACTATAGGGATTTAAACAGTATGCTTTCATTTATACAAATATCCTCTACAGTCTCAATTTAGTGTAAGGTATGGAAAAAGCACTTAACTACTATAAAAGTTACTTATCAAATACTCTGCCCTTCTGTAAGGTGTTTTTAAAAGCAACACAGGACCAAAAACATCCAACTATTACTTTATTTATATTACTATGCTTAAGTTACATGGAAAAAGACAACCAAGCAGTTCTGCCCCATTTCGAAAAAAATTTCCAATCAACACCAATTATGTGGTGACAAGCAACTGGGAATGGTGACATCTTTGGGTCAAGACTGACAAGAAAAAATGGGCTCTGGTGCTACAGTTCATCTCCAACAAGAATATGGCACACTGGCCAGCACAAGCCATACTAACACTGAGCCTTTAGCGCTGGGCACAGATTCGGATCTCTTCTCTGAAGCTAGCAAATCAAGTGAAATAACTGGGTTAAAAAAAAAGTTTTAAAATGAAGCCCAAATAAGTTTTAAAACCATGCTCCTGACATATTCTCCATCAAAGTTTACATAAAACACACTTTTTCCACTCTAATAGCCCCAATTTTTTTCCTCACATAGCCTACCATGTAGCTGCAGAGACTCTTCTGCCTCAAGATGTAAACGAAGGGAAAAAAATTAATGGCATGTGCATCATATTCTCTACACACTGCTGTTGGATGGAAAATACAAAATTAAAAAAAGAGAGAAAGGTTCCATCTTAGATTCTCACAACCTCTTGTTCCGCAGTTCATGAATCCGACTCTGATGCTAAGGTGACAGTGTATGTAAGTAGATTTGTTTTCAGTGAAGGAAACCTGGGAAAAGAAGGATTTATCTCTTTTTCTTCAAGAGTTATCTGATGGTACATGCTCCTCAAAGCCCTCACTCTCTCGAACTAGTGCACGTTCCAGGATCACACGGCCTTCCTTATAACGCTGGCTGTCTTCAGTGGCAAACTCATAGATCCATCCCAGTTTGCTATTGCAGTTTTTGCAGCTCACATCTCGAACCATGTGGCGGCCAGTGAGCATGACTCGATCTTGAACTTCACTGTACTGCAGATTAACTACCTAAAAAACATACAGAAAGAGAATGGCAAAGGCATGTATGTTATTTGTCAAGTAAGTACACACTATTATGGTTGGTGCAGTAACATCGACTTCAGAATAGAAAACAGATGTTGCTACTTTAGTCAAACCCACAATACCCTTCTCAACAGCTGATTTTTTCATGTTGCTAGGAGAGATAAACATTGCCAGTTGCACTGTATTGGTCATCTAATGGAACCATCTAATGGCTTGTTGTACTAGCCATTTTATACTATTTATACACAAGCTAGTTGTATTTTTGTATTGTAGTGAAAAAAAAAAAAAGAGTCCTGGAATTGGGAGTCACAAAATGTAGGATTCAGTCCAACTACTACTGTATAGTATTTAATGATTATAACTGCAGATAAATAGATGTAAAAGAACATATTACACCATCCATGTTCCAGAAAATGTTTGTCAAATATGTTTCTGAGAACAAGTTTTATATAAAAATTAGATCAGGATACTTAGCCTATTAAACTACTCAGTGCAAAAACAGTTTTCAAATAAGTTCAAGGACAATGAACACAGGAAGTGGTTCTAAGACAGTCTGTGATGAATTTCTAATGATTCTAAATAACCAACAATCCTCTATACTTTACTTTCCTGCAACCAGATGTCAAATATTTTTGGCTTCGAAGGCTCTCTGGACTTTACTGGAACTATTTAACTCTGGTACTGTAGTGTCAACACAGCAATAGATAATATATAAATGAACAGGTATGGTTGTTTATATCAATACTAATTTATTTTTTGGTCGTGGGGCTTGACCTCTGGGCCTGGGCACTGTCCCTCAACTCTTCAGCTCAAGGCTAACACTCTACTATTTGAGCCACAGTGCCACATCCGGCTTTTTCTACTTATGTGGTGCAGAGGAATCGAACCTAGGGCCTCATGCATGCAAGGGAAGCACTCTACCACTGAGATACCTTCCCAGCCCATTAACAGCAAATTTTATTTTCAGAAATAGATGGCTAGCCTGCTGCAGCATAAACCCTGTTCTGTATTTAAGTAAAGCTCAAGGGAAACACATAATTCTTCATTCTTTAATCCTTTTGAAGTTACATTCCAAACTAGGAGTGGCTACACATGCTTGTAATCCCAGCTACTCAGGAGGCAGTGACTGGAGAAGCACAGGTTTGAGGCCAGTACAGGCAAAGGTAACAGCAAGATTCTCAAAACAACTGGGAGTATAGCTCAAGTGATAGAATGCTTACCTAGCATACACAAGGGCCTGGGTTCAGTCCCTAGTATGGCAAATATATGTCACTTTCTACTAATGCTTCATAAGGTCTCCTAACAGATAACATAAGCAGTGAGCGATCAATTCTATTGAGTTAAGCTCATTCTGGCTCTTCTCGGTATCTGTAGTTCTAAGGAGGGTACTCTGGTGTTGCTGTCAAATATAGCCATTTAACTTAGGAATGAAACTTTTTTCTTACCAACCTTGTTAAAAAGAAATGCTCTACCAGTGGCACCTGTAAACCGGGTAGAGATGAGTTCTGAGCGGTTGGTGAGGATCGTATCACAGTTTGCACAAGAAAACAGGCGAGTACCACCAATATGATCAAGGAAAATTCTTCCCATTTTGATAGCTGAAGTTCTAAAAACCTAGGAGCAAATAGAAAATGAAATCATTATGATTAAAAATTGGCTAGCTAGCTTCCATTTGGGCAATGTCATAGAGAACCATTTATATATATATGTCATCTTTGCTTCTCAGTATTTGCTATGTGAAACAGCTGACCCTGAACAAAAGGTTCTAGAGTTTGAACATTGGACAAACTGGCAGATGCCAAACTAAAACCCTTTTAGAAGCAGAAAGAATGTTATCACTGGAAAAAATATGGAAAGTGGAATTTCAGAAAATGAATGATAACAAAACACTGGTACAAAGACAAAGAAAGAACAAACATGTAGCACAGATATTTAAGAATACATTCTGAGAATGTGTTAATTCAAGAAAAGGTGTGGGGACTGAGTGGATACAAAGGATAACTGACAAACAAGGGCAGAAAATATAGTGGTGAAACACTTGCTTAACATGCTTGAGGCTACATGTACATATGTGCGCGCGTGCGCGCGCGCGCACACACACACACACACACACACAAACACACACACACACACACACACACAAACACACACACACACACACACACACACACACACACACACACACACACACACACACAGTTTGGGAGCAAGAGGTGAATAAATCTGATTACTAGATGTACCAAAAACTATATAGTGGTGTATAATTTTGAGTACAACGGTCTAGGCAGCACCATGGTTTATTTTAAAACTATCATAGCTCAGAAATTGTTACTGCCCCCAGAGATGACTCTAAGCCAATCGAAAAAGGCTATTAACTGGTCAAAGGTTATACGGTTGTTAAAATACAGAAAATCAGCTGGAATGCAATGCTACCCAATTTCAAGACAAAGTTCTTCCATTACTTCCCATTAACATCCCCATAAAAAGAGGATCCAAGATGGTCTAGGCCTGACATAGGACTACAGCATCAAAAAAAGAAAAGGGAAAGGTTACTTTTATTGTCCATACAGAACTTATCTTCAAACCCTATGGATAAAATAAATCACAAAAGTGCTGAAACACTCAAAGTTTTTTTTAACAAATTTGTGAAACTACAATAATTTTATTTTAGTATTTTTAAGTTAGAAAAGCTGGGCACCAATGGTCCATACTTGTAATCCTAGGTAGCCTGGACAGACAAATCCATGAGAATCTGTCTCCAAAATAATTAGCAAAGGGGGTAGGAAGGTGGCTCAGTGGTAGAGCGCTTGCCTTGCATGCCTAAGGCCCTGGGTTCGATTCCTCAGCACCACATAAGCAGAAAAAGCCGGAAGTGGTGCTGTGGCTCAAGCGGTAGAGTGCTAGCCTTGAGCTGAAGAGCTAAGGGACAGTGCCCAGGCCCAGAGTTCAGGCCCCATAACTGACAAAAACAAACAAACAAACAAAAAAAAAACTAGCAAAGAGCAGGACTGAAGGCTTACTTTAAGTAGCTTAAGTAGTAGTGTCTGCTGAACAATCAAACTGGGCAAGGGCAAAGTTCTAAGTTAAAAACTAACTCCTTATATACATCATAATGAATTATCCTAGGAAATATGCTTAAGGATATAGATATACTCAAGAATATACTTCAGCCTTCATTTTAAAAACTATTCTGAAGTATAGTTATCAGCTCCTAAGTATTTAATCTTATAAATCTTTAATATGACATGCAAGGCAGATATAGCTGCCTTTTGGGGTAGGGTTGGGAAGAAAGGGCAGAAAGTCTGTACTCCACTGTCATAAATTTAAAAAGAAAAATTCCAAGGGCTGGGGGCATGGCTCAAATAGTAGAGTGCCTGCCTAACAAGTGTGAAACCCTTCCCAGTACTATTCCCCCCCCAAAAATCACCAAACCAAAAAACAAAAAACATTCTACAGACTTCCTCTGTGTAATCACTAATAATCATCATTATGACTCCCCGCAAACATTAAGCATAAAGTTTAATAAGGAATACAAAAATTTAATGAATACAATTACCATCTGAAGCTATGAAAAGGAAAACCAAGGCATTATCAAGAATCACAATAAGTAAACCTTAGACTGAAAATAGTAATTTACCTATCCAATTACATTTCTGCACAATAATAATAACTAATCCTTATTGCCTATCTTTATCACCTGTAAAACTCCAGCTTTACTTTTTCCAGATGTTTAATAAACAACACAAATAGCTGCTGTATATAAATCAGACTGTTTAACAAGTGGTATAGCACTTTCCTAGCACATAGTATCCTCCTAGGGCAACAACTGACTAGAGATGAGCAGTAACTACTCCCACCCTGCTTCCTCCACTCCCCCACTCCCATTCCTAGACCATTTCATTTGTTCATTTTCCCGTTTTATACAATCACCTTAACTTGCATTTATGAGACTCACACAATACAAATAAAACATTCAACAGAGCCTGGTGCTGGTGGCTCACACCTGTAATCCTAGCTACTCAGGAAGGCTAAGATATGAGGATCACAGTTCAAATCCAGCCCGGAAAGTCTGTGAGACTCTTATCTCCAATTAACCACCAGAAAACTGGAAGTGGTGCTGTGGCTCAAGTGGTAGAATGCTTGCCTTGAGCTGAAGAGTTCAGGAACAGCGCCTAGGCCCAGAGTTCAAGCCTCATGACTGACAAGAACAAAAACAAAACAAAAATCATTCAACAAATTTGTGAATGATGATTCATTATGGTTGTATGTGCATACTGGTGATTTCCAGGAAAGACTCCACAGCAAGGTATTTCCGGTCTCAGTAACAAAGGTATTCAGCTCTCTCATGTTTCACTTGAGGGGTCACAGCCAGCTAGAGCTTCTAGGTCTCATTTCAAAGCTCATTTTCCTTCGAACTTGTTACATTTTCATATTGTAATTTACTTCAATCCTAATGCAGTACTAACTAGATGTTTCTGTACTGAGCTTGGCAAATAAAAGTGTTGTGGGAAATGTCATCCACTTCAAATGAATGCTCTCTATACCTTCTACAGAAGCCTTTCTATTTTTGGCTCAAAATTAGATACAATACAGCTGTGACTGACCATTTGGTACTGGGCAAAAAGATTTAATATGCCTTCTTTTATCCTGCTTCAAATTCAGTCTATTTTGACTCTTCACCAAAGTATTTTTACTGGATCCAATTATATGATTCATTACCCACAACCAAAAATATATCTGGGCAGAACCTTATGTTACACTATTCTGAGTGTGGTTGCCATTTATAGAGTTCTATCTATGTATTTTTAAACTGTAGAATGTGGGGGGATTTTGCCAAAAAAGACAAACTAGAATGTTATAAAGTCTAGTCTTTAAGAAGTATAAAAACTTCTGCACTGACATTAGGTTCTAGGGTTAAGTGTTAGCTTTGCAAGGTTAGAAATTGAACCTAGTACTGACTTAAAACTATTCAATCTCTCAAGAGGATTACATCAACTAGAATGTCATTACTATGTGTCTCTGCAAAATTTATGTTGCATCTTAATCACCAGTGTCATGGCATTTAATGTTGATTGGTTCATAAGAGCAGAACACTCATTAGGAGATTACTGTCCTCAAAAAAGGCCCCAGAGGGGGCTGCCTTGCCCCTTTCTATCAGATCAGGTAAGGACACAGCTGGATGACACTATCAATGACCTCAAAATAGACCCTTACTTATCAGACACCAAATCTGCTAGTGCCTTGATCCTAAAATCCCCAGCCTCCAAACCGAGCTAAAGAAACTCCAGTCTATAGCATCTGGAAACAGAAGCTTGAATGGATTAAGGCAGCCACACTTTATCCTTTGATGAGGAAGGTCACTAAAAAGCTAACTCACCACTTCAGAATCAGGCTTCTTTGGATGATAGTGAACTTCGCCTCAGAACTAATATTTACTGACTCTATAGGACTTCGTATATATTAAATATCATTCAGTTGTGACAAATTTTTTTTTTTTGCCAGTCTGAGGGCTTGAACTCAGGGCCTGGACTTCTTTTGCTCAAGGCTAGCACGCTACCTCTTGAGCAACAGCACCACTTCCAAATTTTTCTATTTTTATGGCACTGCAGAATCCAACCCAGGCTTTATGCATGCTAGGCAAGCACTCTACCACTAAGCTACATTCCCAGCCAAATTATGACAATTCTTAAGGCAGACATTGCCCTGCTGTTATTGATGAAATAAAGACTGGGTACTTGCTCAGTTCACCATTCCATTTCAAGTGTATTACAGTCCAGTTGTTATGAGCATTAAAATGCATTTCAACTTTATTCTAAAAATTGAATATAAATAAAAGATCAAAAAAGAAAAATAAAGAAATAGATTGTTCACTTTCCAAAGTGGCCAAACAAGGCTCTGAAGTAAATCTTGCTCCACCAGTTCCTACTCAGTCACCCTCTGGTAATTGAATTTTTGGGTTGTGGGATTCTGTCTTTTCCCTCCTCCCCACTCTAGGCTCTTCTACCAGTGCTCCTTAATCTTAGGAGACCACAATCAATCACAACCTCCTAGATTAGGGAGAACAAGTGACTGCAAAACTGATAATAAAACAAAAACAGAAACAACCCTCTAGAGACATCAAATTTACCCTATCTAGGTTTTACTTCATGGTCCGTCTGTCTATTAAACACACAAGCACAAATGCCACCACAATTGTGCTGAATTAAGACCAGAAGAATGTGCTCATAAAGACTGCTTCTCTATAAAATTTGAAAGTGTTTTTGACAGGATAAAAATAGTGCTTTTTATGAGACAGGGTCTCAAAATTACAGTGCAGGTTGACCTGGAATGCTGTAGGACAGGCCTTAGCTTCCTGAATGCTGGTATGAGAACCGTGTGCCAGTATATCTAGCTAGAGCTGCTTCTTAAAAATGAAAAAAACCCAACTTTACTGGGCTTGGGGTGTGGAGTTCAGTGGAAGAATGCTTGCTGGTATTTATCCAAGAGGCCTGGGTGTAAGTTCTATCCCTACCATCTCCTCAGGACTACAAAAAATAAAAAACTATGGTTTACATATGATAAAGTTTATTCTAAGTGTGCTGTTCAATAATTTATAGCAATTTTACAAAGATGTA